CCCTCTTCTCTAGCACCAACCCCCCCCAAGGTAGAATCCTTATCTGCTGACTATATGCTAAAGCTATTCATCCACATCCCTCCCGTGTACCTTACACTTGGTGTTTAACGACGACCCTATCGAACTTCCGCACAGCACAGAAAATTCTACAAAGCGTTTCACATTCATTATCTCCTCATCCCCGCCATCAGCATATCAAATAGAAAGGGCCACCATTTGATAGATAATAACAGGTAACATTTATTGAGGGCGTCCTTCAGACCAAGCCTATTAAATACAGAAGCCTGTTTTATCCTTGTGACCCCTGGAGGACAACCCTGGTTTTGTGCTCAGTGCCAGAGGAAGAACCTGGAGCCCGGAGGGGCCACATGAAAAACCGAGGGCACCAGCGTGGTCTGGCTCCAGCTGAAGCTTCTCGAGGCTGCCTGGAACTCGCAGTGCTTAGAGAAGACAAAGCCAGGGCCAGAAGTCCGTTCTTGCCACGATACTGCCTCTTCTGTCTTCTCTGGAAAGGCCTCTGAGAAAATAACTGAATTCGGTTTGCAAGCTGAATTGTGACGGGTCGGACAGCAGCCAAGAGCACTGATTCTGCACCCGACTCCCTGGGGGTGCAGTCCAGCCCCACCCACTACCAGCCGCAGGGTGCTCAGCCAGCCGGCTGACTTCTCGGAGCCTCCAGCCTGCATCTGTGCAGTGGGAGAAGCAAGAGGATCCACCCCGTGAGGCTGTTGTGAAGATGAACCGTTCATACATGTCGGCATATGAAGAGTGTGAGCAAAGGCACATGCTTTGTGCACACTTGGCGCCATGCCCGGTCCATGGGATCCGCGGGCCAATAGGTGGGCCAAAAAGGTTTCCAGCATCTCTGGGTGCTAGGGCTACCCCTAAAATTCAAGAGAATGATTTCTCTCCAGGAAAGAGAGACCCTCACATCTTTGTGGCAGTATCGGGACTTGGTAGGCCCCCTCCCATCTGCCCAGGCTTACTCATGGACAGAATTGACAAGGGCCACGGGTGCAGCATCCTGCCATGGAAACCCAGGACTCCTGCTCTAAACTGCCCACCCCCCATTCACTCCCAGCCCATTAGCAAGATCCTAACGACCCTACAGATGCTCATTTCGCCCTTCTTTCACACATGGTCCTCCAGATGGGACTGACATTCTACACTACCCCGTTTTCCATTTGTGCGCACTTAACCCAACTAAAAGGCCACCAACGGTGTCCCTCTGCAGACGCCCAAGTCCTCTTATCTGTCCATCTCTTGATTCCCAGCTCTCTGCTTCTCTCTTTGTCTTCTTCTATTTCTGTCTCTTCATCTCTCTGTCTCCGTCTCACTTTCCCTATTTTTTTCTTTCTCTTTTTCTCTCTTTCTGCCTCTTTCTCTCTCTCACACACACACACATATTCTCTCTCTCTCTTTCTCCAACCCCCACCCATCCAACATGACATGCTAATGGGGCTCCCAAGTGAGTTGGCCTCATCCCTCCAGGCAGGAGTGAACGGAGATGGGCTTCACACCTGTCAGTTAGGCTCAATCACTTGTGTGAAAACAGAGCTGGTGCCCAGGAACAGGCCGACCTGGCTGGATTGGGTCCTGCCTCAGCTGTCCTCCAAAGTGGGCTCCAGGAGCAAATGCTCCTTCTGTTCTCAGTGGACGAGGGCGTCTCCTGGAATGTCCCGGGAGCAGGTGTGGGCCCCGCCATAGGGTGGACGGAGGGGCCTGTTCCCAGGGAGTTTATGGAACTCTCTGTACTACAGTTGGTCAGCTATTTTTACAAAATTCCAATTACACAACAAAAGGACAAACATCACATAAAAAGGAAATAGGTGATCTCCCAGCACTCATGTCACTGGAGTACATCAGTAACAAGGAAATGTCTTGAGACCGGACTGGCCATAATAGGAAAGAAATATTACCCGAAACAAAGGTGCCTCTATTAATATATTACTTTCGATTTAAAATGGTCTGCCAACTGGAACAGAGCCCATCAAGAGTGAAAGTTAGATGTTGCTGGGAGGGAAGGGTGGGAATATTCTTAAGGGTAGGCTGCGATCCAAGTCTCCATCCATCATGTTACTCATTTGACAATTATTTATGGGTTTTCCAGGGTGGAAAGCATGGTGCTAGCCACAGAGGACATCCCCAGCCACACAGAGCTTACAGTTTTAGTGGAGAATGAGGACATTCTCCATTCTGTGTGCTGAGCAATGGGAACATGGAAGCCCAGGGCGACAAGTGTGGCAAGTCAGGGGAAGGGGCAGACGAATGAGTCCAGCAGTCAGGAAAGGCCTCCCAGAGGAAATGACATGGAAGCCCCTGACTGATGTGTAGGACTAGCAAGGAATGAGTGTTCCAGGCAGAAGGGCCCAGGCCAGAAGGGGGACAAGTTAGAGAAGGGAGAGAAGCCGGATGGCAAAGGGTTTGATGGGCCCCACTAAGGAGTTGGGACTGTGTCCTGAGGTCAATGGAAAGTTACTGGGGATTTTCACTAGGGTATAATTTAACCAGAATTGCACTTTGAACTATCTCTGGCTCCTGTGGGGAAGGAAGAATAGTAGCAAGCAGGGGGCTGTTGTGGTAAACATGGTGGAGAGAATGAAGGAATCAATGGGGATTAGGAGGCAAATCCATAGGGCTTGGTGAGTGGTTGTTTGCAGGGGTGGTTAAGAGGAGCAGTCAAGGATGACTGCTTGGCCTTTGGTTGGGGGATGGTGCATTTCCTCCTGCAATAAAGATGGAAGAAGAGTGGGTGGTCAGGAAGGCATGTGTCCCTCTTGGGGCCTGTAGATGATGCTATGGACACTGTGGCACTCAGACTCTAGTCCCAACCCCCTGCTGCTCCCACCCTTGTACAAACCCTTCCCCTTGCAGGGTTTCCCCTCTTCTTGTGGGAAGGGCCTACAGCTGCCTTCTAACCAAGAGAATATAGCAAAGGAGTAGATGTCACTCCTGTGATTACAATAGGTCCTACAAAACTCTCTCTTAGCCAGCTAAGAGCTACTCTCCTGTAGGCTTGATGACATGAGCAGCCATGTTGGGAAGGCCCACGTGGTGAGGTACACCCAGCAGCTTCTAGAATCTCGGGCTGGCCTCTAGCCAACAGCCTTTAAAAAGATGGGACCTCAGTCACATAGCTGCATGGAAGTTAATTTTGCCCACAACCCGAGTGAGCTTGGAAGTGGATTCTTCCCCCAGTCTAGCCACTGGGTGAGAGCACAGCCTAACTGACCCTTTGGTCTCAGTCTGGTGAGACCCTGAGCAGAGGACCCAGCTAAGCCAAAGCTGGACTCCTGGCCCATGAAAACCATGAGATAATAAATGTATATTGGTTTAAGACATTAAATGTATAGTATGTAATTCATTATGCCTCAATAGAAAAATAATATAGTATTTAATTAGAGATAGCAAATAAGCAATTGGCCATATGGGTGTGGACCACAAAACAGAGCTCAAGACTGGAGTTACACATTTGGTAATTATTAACATATAGATAGGAGCCAAAGCCAGGGGAATACACAGTGACAATGAGGACAGAAATCTGAGGATCCACCAACATTTAGTTGATAAGTAGATGAGAAAGAGTTTTGAGGGATTCAGAAAAAGACTGCCCAGCAAGGTAGGAGGAAAATGAAGAATACGGTTGTATTAATAACAGCCAACATTTAGTAAGAACTTTCCATGTGCCAGGTACTGTTTAAAGTGGATGACAAGTATTAACCCTTCCATGCGGTATTATCATGTTAGTATTCTTACATTACAAATGAGGCAACTGAGGCAAGGAGAGAATAAGTAGCTTGGTCAAGGTCACATAGTCACACACCTAGTAAATGGAAGAACAAAGATTCCAACTCAAGTGGCTACCTCTAGAGTCTGGGTTCTCACCAGTTATGCCAAACTGACTCTGTTCTGAGGAACGGAAACCCAATGCAAACCAACACAACCGTAAGTGGGGATTTATTAGTTCACCACAACGAAAACTGTGAGGGGTAGAACACAGGACATATTTTAGGAACCCTTGGGGAGACTGAAGCCGTGCCGCCAATCTCTCTCTCCTCTCTCTCTGTCCCCCTCACCTCCGCTCAGCTTCCCTTATGTTGGCTTTATTTTCACACACACTCTGTGGACATGATGGCGACGAAAGCTGCCAACAGCTCCAGCCTGACATTATCTCCACAGGAGAGTTCCTCCTCCATCACTTGCCAAACCAAAGCAATTATAGGACACAGGTGGGTGAGTTTCCCCTCCTTTACCCCAAATATAGAAGCAACTGAGAGTTAGGTACAAGAGCCAGACAAATAGGGCTCACATGTCAGATTTAAGGTCGGGAGGGGGCAAGAGGGTGCCAGAGTGAAGACATGGTTTATGTGTTTGACTGTCTCATATTGCACCTAAGAATGAAAGTGACCCCCAGTCAGAGCCAACCCTGGACCCCCGGAAGCTACCCAGCAGAGCACGGCTTCAGGCACACAGCCCGCCCAGCTAAGCTTGCCATGTGGCAGTGTTAATGCACTTTCTCTGCAGGCAGAAGGAGAAAAGGGAGCTGAGTCACACAAGCCCTCTCCCAAACTCACCCATCCAATGAGTCACTTCTCTACTCGCCTTCCCCTCCTCCACCATCCCCTATAGAATAATGAAAAAGAAAAAGAAAAAGAAAAAAGAAAAGACAAGAAACTCCCAGGTACACACCTATTAGAATGGCTAAAATTTAAAAATCTGACAAGACCAAGTCCTGATGAGGTCACAGGACCACTGGAAGTTTCATCCATGGCCAACGGGGGCGCAAAATAATAAAGCCGTGTTAGAAGACTTTCTTACGAAGTTTAATGTACTTTCACCATATGACCCAGAACCTACCCCTAAATATGGATCCATGAGAAATGAAAACACGTGCCCATACAAAGGTCTGTATATGAACGTTTATAGTTTTATTCACAATTGCCCCGAATTGGAAACCATCCAATGTCCCATCAATTAGTAGATGACTGAACAAATTCTAGTAGCCACACAAAAGAAGCTACTCAGCAATAAAAAAGAGCACACCACTGATACAACAATGTGGCTGAATTTCAGAAGCACTGTGTTATGTGAGAGAAGCGATCTCAAAGGGCTACATAACGGATGATTCCACTTATACAATATTCTGGAAATGGCCAATCTACAGAAATGAAAACAAGATCAGTAGTTGCCAGGTGTTGGGGTGAAGGGAGGGTAAGGGAACATTTTGGGGTGATAGAAGTGTTTCATATCATCTCAGTGATAGTGATCATACAACTGTATACATTTATTAAAATCCCTGGAACTGTGTGTGTAAAAAAGAGGGAACTCTACTGCTTGCAAATTAAACTTCTGTAAACTTAAAGCAAATGACAAAACCAGGGGTGTTATGTTCATTCTCAAACTTTAACATGTGTCAGAATCCCCTGGAGAACTGGTCAAACACAGATAGGTGGGGGGGGGGATGGGTAATGAGAACCAGCATTTCTTTTTTCCTTTTTTTTTTTTTTAAAGATTTTATTTATTTATTTGAGAGAGAGCACAAGAGCATGAGTGGGGGAGGGGGCAGAGGGAGAAGCAGACTCCACACTGAGCAGGGATTGATCCCAGGACCCTGAGATCATGACCTGAGCCCTAGGTAGACGCTTAACTGACTGAGCCACCCAGGCACCCCCGAGAACCAGCATTTCTACCATGTTTGCAAGAGATTCTGATACCCCTGGGTCCAGAGAGCACATTTCAGGAACTGCTGCTCTCGTGAAAATCCCTCCATGTGGAAAGGAGGATCAGGAGAGTCACGTTCCTTCCCAGCTGGGTATCCAAGCCAGCCTGGAGAACTGGTAGGTTGCTAAGGGAAAGTAGCTTTGCCACGGACAGCCCCACAAAAGCAGGGGAGGGGGATTTCCAAAGGGACACAAGGTGTTCTTTTTCCAAAGGAGGAGGAACAGAAAGTAAGTAGACCCAAACAGCAACCCCATAGAGCTACATCAGAGCAGCCCAAAGAAGCACATCTGTAAGAAAGGGGTGGGGAACACCATCACATAGCTCAAGGAGATACAGACTAAGCTGTGTTCACTGGACTGAGCAGAATGGAAGAAAGACCACATTCAAGTGGTTGCTGATTGCAGAAGAGAGATGAGGAAAGGGGGACAATAAATGTTGGCACTTCCATCACCCATTCCATAAGCATGGAGCACGTATGTATGTATGTGATGAGGTGTGATGGACAGCATTCCATATCTTCGTCAACAGGGGATCTACTTCAGGGAGGGAGGGAGTCGGTAAATGACAAGAGGTTGAAAATATAGGAGAGAGAGTGTGGTCACCAAGGATAGTCCTTAAGAAGGCAGGAAAGCGTGGCACTCTGGGCACAGACGGAGCAAGAAACTGAGGAGATGCACAAGACAAATAGACACAAGGAAGGAAGATGGGGGGGTTGTAAGTTTAGTGAGGGGAGATTGAGTGTGTCCCCATCTGATGGCTTCTATTTGTTCTGAGGAGGTGACAACGAGTCAATCAAGGGGTACCTTAACATGTTGGGTTAAGAGTTCAGTCTCCAAAGTCGGAGTCCAGACTTGCTGTGTAACATTGGACAAACTACATGCTTAACCAATGTCTATAAAATAAGAATAGTAACAGGACTTTTCTCACTGGAAAAGGGATGAGATTTGTGCCTGGGACATAACGAATGCTCGGTGTTTGGTTGCGGCAAGCGACCAGTTCGAGGAGTGAAGAGATTATCAGAAGTAGACACTATTAACCATAGAACTTCGAATAGGCTGCGGCTTTTAATGTTTAAGTCCAAAAGAAGTAGCACCCTTGTTAATCCAGTCAGCCCCAAGTCCAAGCAAGCTGTAACCATCAGATATCCTCTTCAACCTCGAAACAACATCCTCCCTGTTCATAAAACTCTAGGAACCCAAGTGCCCATTGGAGAGGGCTTCAGACATCTTAGGTTCTTCTATCAGCTATGGGAACGTGAGCATCTCGAGGCAAGGCCACTATTAAGGTCACCTCTGAAGTTTCATCAAGACCTAACAAGTTGGTGTTTCAAAGACTCAGAAGTGAGTCACTTGCCTACAGTTGGCACCTTCAGATGGGTCCATTGTGTAAGACGCCCAGAAGGGTAGAGGTAGCTGGACTTGGTTAGCCTGGGGAGACCAAAGATGTCTCTTTCCCCCACTCAAACCACCAACTGTCAGCCCAAGGCCATGCATGAGTCAAGGGCACTGTTCCATTTCACGTGATAAGTGAAAAAGAGCTTTTTTTTTCCCCTCCAAAGCATTTCTTCTTCCATTCTGTATGCCAGAGTTGAGCTCGTATTTCCAATTTCCCCTTGAATTCATTGAACATGAGTTGGTAAGAGACCTGTTCCAGGTGTAGGTCCCAGCTGAGTCATAGGAGAAACAGAACTGCTCTGGTACCTTCCTTCCTTTTCCAAAAAGGTGAGGCTTTTCCAAGCTTCTGTTTCTCTCTCTTATGTTCTTTTACTTAGGCACTTGCCCAAAAGGCAGTCACCGTATTCCATCCATTCCAGGATGCACACTTCCCTTGCATGTGAACATCTGGGAAATGGGGATGCACCTTCATTTTGGGTACTGGTTAAGCTGCCTGTCTGACAGTCAGTCTCTTTGTTTTGATGAAGTATGGAGATGGCCCTTTGGGGAGTGTCTCAGCGCTGGGACTTCACTTAAGTCCTTCCATAAGTCTAACTACAGCCCTGTATATTTGGTGCGATGCTCTACACTATACTTGGCAAAACACAAGGATATGCCAGATTCAGTGACATGCTCAAGGCCACATGGTTAGTAGATAGCCCAGTGGGATAAGGCAAAGTCTCACTGCTTCCTGAAATATTTTGGCAGGATCAGAATCATCAGCCAACTACATCCATGACCATTCCAGAGGAGATGAACAAGGCTCACAGGAGGATTTCAGCTTGAACTATATCATAATATATGGACATAGAAAGAGAGCCACATACAAGAGAAATTTAGGATCAGCTATGGGAAAAAGCTACGAGACTCTGGTTACCTTCTCTGGGCCTCAGAGTTTTGTAAACAAGGTCCCAGCAACAACGGTGGCCACAGCTTTTTGAAGACCTGCCTGTAATGGGATCTGGGCCAAGCATTCCACCATATGGTCTTATTTATTTCTCACAACAGCCCCCCAAAGTAGACCTTGTCCTCTACTAGAAACTATTGCTTAGTCAGCCAAGATTACAGATCTAGCAACTCTCAGAGCTGGAATGCACCTCTGCCTGGTTGGCTCCAGGAAGCACTTACCCCTGTGTGATTCAGTCCCATCCACCAAAAGGAAGTGGGTAGACCAGCTGACCTCTGAAGTCCTATCCCTAAGAGGTAATGGTTCTGCTTTTACAAATAAGTACACAGTGGCACTAGGCGAGCACGCTCTATGGTGACGCATTCAAAAGTGATCTGGGGGCTGGTGGTTCCTCAAAAAGTTAAACACAGAACGACCATATGATCCAGCCATTCCACCCTAAGGATATACCCCAAAGAACTGAAAGCAGGAACTCGAACAAACGTTTGTACACTGAGGGTCATAGTAGTGCCATTCACAACAGCCAAAAAGGCGGAAACAAATCAAATGTCCATTGACAGAGGAACAGATAAACAAAACATGGTACATACATAAAATGGAATAGCCTTCCTCCTTAAAAAGGAATGAGATCCTGACCTATGTCATGAGGTAGAAAAGTCCTGAAGACATCATGTTAAATGAAATAAGCCAGCTAGAAAGGGACAAATACAAGAGGATTCCACCTTTGGGAGGCACCTGGAGTAGTCAAATTCAAAAACACAGAAAGTAAAATAGAGATTTACCAGGGGCTGGAGGGAGGAGAAAATGGGGACTTCCGGTTCATAGGAACCGACCTTCTCGTCGGGATGATGGGAAAATTCTGGAGATGGATGGGGGTGATGGTTGCCCAACACTGTGAATGCACTTAATTCCTCTGAACCGTACACTTTAAAACGGTTAAGATGTTAAGTTTTATGTACTATATACTTTATCATGATTTTTAAATCACCCAAAAAAATATTCAGGATTCATTAATCACACTACCCCCAATCAAGAACAGGAAGCCTTTGGAGACCCGAGGTGGGATGGAAATGAGGACTCATGTTCCCAGAGTACGTCATGCAGGACCAGGTGAGGGTGTGTGTGGGGGGGGGAAGTTGTGGGTTCTGGGAAGAGGAAAGATGGGAAAGGCAGCGGATGTGAGTTCTGCTAGACAATCCTGGGCACAGTCCCAGAGTATATCAGAGCAGATGGCAAGCTTGGTCATGACAGCAAGGAATGGGCGGAGGGATTCCATGTCATTGAGAAATAACCCATCTATCTGAGGACTCTGGGGAATTCCTTGAAAAACAAAACACACTAGCCCCTTCACGTAGCAAACAATACCATATCCTTCCTCACACCTGTAAATAAACATCCAAACATCTGTGCGTCCTCATTTTCATGGCAACGGGGAGACAGTCGACCTAGGAAGTCAACTGCTTGGCCTTCAGGAGACGCTCAAGTATCCAGAATGTTTGCTCACGTCAGGCCGAGTGTCTGGATTATAGGGTGTTTTGCTGCTAGTGATAAATGTGTGCTGACGTGTGGTTCCTGCCTTTCAGGAAGGGCTTCCCATGTTGCTCTGAGGGGCCCTGTCTCCTGTCCCCCACGCCGTGAGCCTGAGGCACCAGCTCCCAGCCTACTGGGAGCCCCACCTGCCTCCTGTTGAAACAAGCAGCACCCGGATGGGATGCGTTCATGCTGTTTTTACAGAGAAAGGAATAAAGTCCTCTGTTCAGAAGAATCAGGAAGGATTCGAGTACTCAGCCCGGGTCCGCTTTTGTTTGTGTGGGTGTTGTGGGTGGAGATGAGAAGGGAGATGAGGCCGTGCATGTCTCATCTGGGTATCGTGGGGGTTGCGGAAGAGTCTGCACTGGTTTCAAGATTTATCAGAAAAACAAACAAAGGAAAGTATTCTCTGAAATTGTAGCAAAAGTCCCAACTCAGGACCAGAGGATGAGCACACAAAGACCTCCAGTCCACTTCCGTCAGCCTGTGTAAATCTAAGAACCAATACGGCTCCGTCGGTGCAGTCAAACTTTCTCTGCCCAGTGGGGCACACTGGGGTCTGGGGACAGGGGTGGGGGGTGTCAAGCCGTGGGGGTGGCCCCTCCCTCCATCTTCCATGTCTCAGCTCCCTTCCTCCCAAGTGAAGAGGCCAGAATAGGCCGCTTCTAAGGGCAAGATAGGCGCAATGTCTCTATTCATTTTGTATTTCTAATTTTTAACAATAAAGGCAATATAACAGCTATAAAATTCATGAAATGGAAACAAATCTAGTCATCTCAAATCCCCTGTCCTAACATAAGCAGCTTGGTTTGATATTTCAGTGTTTTGTTGTTGTTGTTGTGTAGTTTTTTTTTTTTTTTAAGATTTTATGTATTTATTTGACAGACAGAGATCACAAGTAGGCAGAGAGGCAGGCAGAGAGAGAGAGAGGAAAGCAGGCTCCCTGCAGAGTAGAGAGCCCAATGCGGTGCTCAATCCCAGGACCCTGGGATCATGACCTGAGCCGAAGGCAGAGGCTTTAACCCACTGAGCCACCCAGGTGCCCCGATATTTCAGTGTTTTAAATCTTGCAGCATAACTGGTTCTGAAAGTCACACACATTTCAGCTGTTTTTTCAGAGGAAAAAAAAAAATCTTATTAATTCATTTGATTGTTGCTGTTGTTTTTCAGAGCTAAACCCTTACACTTTTTAGACTCCAAAAACCCGTTGGATGCCACAATGACTCTTTGGTGGGTGTCACGGCTAAATTGTGCCCCCCACCCAAATCACATGCTGAAGAGTTAGCTCCCAATACGCAGAAAGTGACTGTATTTGAGGTAGGGTTTTCTAAAGAGGTGACTGAGTTACAGTGAGGTCATTGGGTGGGAATCTAAGATGACTGGTATCTTCATAAGAAAAAGGGATTAGGACACACAAGAAAGACCAGCCGCAAGCTGAAGAAAGGGGTCTCAGGAAGAACCCGAGGCTCAGAAGGCTGGCTTCCAGAACTGTGAGGAAGTAAATGTCTGCTGTTCAAGTCCCCATTCTGTGCTCCTTCACTATAGCCACCCCAACAACGTAATGCAATGAGACACGATTCTCTTTCTTGGTAAAGTATACTGATTACACTAAAGGGCCACTGAGGACCCGGCCCTCCATATGGTCATACCCAGGAGAACATCTACCCACCTACACACACACACAAACACACACACACACACACACACACACATACACACACACACACTGTGTGTGCTGTTTTAATAGCCACGAGTTTATTAAGTTGTAACATATTGTAACATGAGTATGTTTTGCAACATTTTTTTTGATCCTGTAACAGAACAGGGTTTTGCAAAGTAACCACATCCTCTCCCTCAGCCGCTTCTCCCTTCCTGCCAGCCAGCTACCCTCACATCGTTGCTTTGAGAGAGAGCCCAGGACCAGGGGTTGGCTGGAGTACCTCCCTCCAAACCCGCCTGCCTCTTGAATTCTTTCTGAGAAGTTCTGATTAACTGTCTATCCACTTTCTAAAAAGGAGATGAGAAACGTCCCCTCACACTGCACGTGCCCAGGGTTTCTTCAGAGCGGTTGTAGGCACGAAGCAACGTCTGGGGACCAGGCCTTTGATGGCTCATTTCTACAGCTTGAACCTGATAAACCCTCCTGGGACTTGCCAGCAGCCACTGAACTGGCCCCGTGACTGGGGAGGTTGGCTTCCCAGCAGTACTATTGTTTGCTCTGGGATTTAAAGCCCCAGCTTCCCGGGTCCAGAGCCAGCCATGAGGGTGAGAGCGTAGGGAGTGGCAGCTACGCAGAGACCCCTTTATGTTGTGACCAATCCAGCTTTAAACAACAAAGAGAATGGCAAGTCAGGCTGCTCCATTTCAGGGGAGCAGGGCACCACGCCCCTCACTGTTGAGCCAGTATAACCAGGAACCCAAGAGTTGAAAAGGTAGATAATGCCCTCGTTCCACAGTCCCTACAAGACTCTCAAGAGAGAGTGGTGACTAAAAGGGACATGGCCATCCCTAGACCAAAGGGCAGCCCAACCCCCAGGATGATCACACAGGGGTGGGAAGTACGAAGGAGCACTCGATACAAAGACATCCTGAGAAGCACCTACCACGTGCAGAACAGAGTGGGGCCTGGACACCCTTGTGGATTCCTGTTCCATCAAACAGCCAGGAACACAGCGCCTGGGACAACTGGTAAAAGGCTTGGGCGACTTCAGGGAGTGCCACAACCTCCTTTCAGCTCTCGCCTCAGCCAGACAATTCCTCCTTTTTCTCATGGGGAACTCTCTCATGACCACTGTGCCCTTCTCTCATTAAAGATCAGCCTCTGCATTATCACTTCCTTCGCATGGTCATGGGAGGCCACAAAAATGTAAAGGAGAGAGTGACACCTGCCTAGCCCCGCCCCTGGGTGCTTCCTCCAAGCTCCCCTTTGACATCATTTTTTTTTGCAGGGACTGGCATTTAGGGAGGGACTAGCCAAGCTTCCTTGAGGCCTACCTCCAGGCCAGGGCTGACCCAAGGTGACAGGTAACAAGGACAACAGTTGCCAAAGCCACCAGAAGGGCTCCACCTTCACACTTGTTCACAGTACATTTTAAGAACAGCAAATCTCAAAGACATTGATAAGACCAAGACCAGAGGCTCTGTCTCTGCAGGCACTCCTGCCACAGATATCATCCCACTCACTGCTCCTGAGTCCATGAACTATTCAGACCCCCATTCTGCAGATGAAGGCATGTAGTTTGGTTCGGTTTGGTTTGGTTTTGTCCTTTCAGAAGAAGGCACCTGGAGTCCGGGGGTTGAATCCAGCAACACAAGCTATCAAAAGACAAAACCAGCGCTGGGACTCAAACATGCCGAACCCAAACCCCAGCACCCTATATACCCTGGTACCAGTGGGAAAAGTGCTTACATTTGCCAGCAACATGGGAGCTGGATGGCCAGGCAAAATCAGAGGCAGTAAGGACCCAGAGGGGAGCAAACACATGCTGTTTGCATTTTCTTTCTGGAAGGCTAGAAAAGCAAAAGCAAGTTGAAGGGCCCAGGAGAGAACAGAAAAGTGACAGCTGATTCCAGGCGGACAAAAGAAGAAAAACATAGGAAGATGAGGCCCAGTGAAAATAGGAACAGAGCTCTGGGGTGGGGGAGCCTACTCTGTCCCCAGGGCTTTCTTCAGCAGCAGATGGAGAAAGGAAAAATTCATATAGCCTCCTGGAGGGTCAGGAAAAGAGAAAAAAGAACAAGCAACCTATAAGAGAGTGAACTTTGGGGGATGGGACTGCAGGGGGTTTGGGGTGAGAAAGTTGGGGGGTCCAAAGGGGGGAGAGGGGGGCTTCTCCTGGAGGGGCCTAAAAGAGGGTTGAGTGAAAACTAGTGCCACCCTCCATTTAGATTCAAAGCTCAGTCCTAGGGGAAGGTGCCTCATTAGGAAAACACTAGAAGATAAAGGATGGTCATG